GCTTCATTCTAAAAAATGCTATCGCAAAACGGTTGGAAATAATAAATGTAACAGCAGAATACGTCCTAGCACAGTAACTCTACTAGGAGAGAGTAACTGTGGTCCTAGTACTAAACTAAGTGACTTCTAAGGACTGAATTGTGTTTGTGAACTTCGTATTAGTTATAAACCGACGTCAGCTTCACGTTTATGTCACCATGGAAACAGCCAAAAAACATGTTGCTTGTTTTTGAGCGGAGCGGATCGCCAACCAGCCTACCGGCTTGTTTTGTTGCTTGTGGTGCTAATGAATGAAATCTCTGTAGCTGCAATAGAAATAAAGCATCGGCAATGTTATTATTAATTCCACTGATGTGGGTGACCATGACATGGAAATATGAAGTGGCAGCTTTGAAGAAATAGCTCGAACATTGCTCAGTCATTCATAGATCTCAAATTTCATGCACAGAGTGACAAAAGCCAGACCTCTGCTGCCCTTTAATGCCTGGTGTGTATTTTATAATAACTTGTTTTGCTGTTTTTTTTTCATTATCCTCATGACCACAATGTAAACCATATGTCTTCTTAAAGAATTTTCAGAAACCTTATATTTAAATTCATATATAATAATAATAGAGACATAATAAAAAATGGCATAAATATTAGACACTTTATTTTTACTTATTACATTAAAATCAAGTAAATATATAAACAAAAAACAAAAAAACAATGGATATCTTGATGCCCATGCACGTCACTCCATGTTTTTCGTCTACTGGCCAAAACAATCACTATTTTCCACTCCAGAATAAATTGAATATTTTTAAACAGACCTTTACTACCATGAAATAATTGATATCAACACACAACGATGGGTGTGAATTGCTCATGTGATCGTATGTTTGCTGGATAGCTGGTTGCGCCAATGTAAATTGTTGGTTATCAGCTTGCTGCTGGTTCTTTGTGGAGGCTGGTGACAGTAAGTTGATTTGTAGTGGACTGGATTTGTGGTGGAGTATGATGTTGAGTATTTTTGAGTTGGTTATTTTTTGGTTTGGCTGTACATCAATGTTTTTTGATTGAAGTACGAGGTGGTTGTTGGTCTTGAGAAAACCATGCAGGAGTTTTCTTGAATCGCATTGGTCTTTTATATTTCTTCTTTACTGGCATGATGAATGATGATGGTCAATATGAAAGGTTTGCAAGGGGAAAAGTGATGTTATTGTTTAATTCTGGCAATAACAAGGTATGGTAAATGATATAGTAATGGCTTTGCTTTCTGAGAAATAAATTATTCTGACTCTGATATGCACCTATATTCAGTCGAAAGTAAGCAGATGTTGTCGCATGTGCTCCAATTGACTGTTAAATTATATTTAATTAAAAAATATGTTTGTGTACAGATTGTTCTTAGTACGAAAACATAATACTTAATATATTTATACCAGCCAGAAAGGAATTGCAGCTTACACTGTGCTATTTTAAACATTCTACCAAAGTCTAGAATAAACTAATCACCCAGTTGTCAAAATAATATGCACAGGATTGTTCACAAAAAAATGATTAAGGTTATGCATAATGACAGGGTACTTGTGTGTTCAATGTCATTAGAACCTGATATGCAGAAGATTTTACTTGAATCAAATATATCTACAGAAATCAAAAAATGCTTTTGGGAAAAAGACATTTCAATACGTTTCATATAAATACAGACAGAAATGGATAACAATCTAATCAGCAGAGGTAGTGATCATGTAATAGGTGTATGTCAAATTTGACCTTTAATTGTTGATGAATCAAATGAAAATAACATTTTTAACTAAAATAAATGTGATTAATGCATTACTTAGCTAATCATTATGCACCAAATAACATAATGCAAAAATCAGATCATATACATATATATATTAATTATATATTAGATGTGCACTAAATTTCAGTTGCCTTCAATTTCAAATAGTTCAATGTTGGATTACTATACATTAACAATGAAACTGTTATACACAATAGATAGTATACGATCGTACAACAGTACACAGTTAAACACACTCATAATGCTTCCTAATTATATAGTACGTTATACTTTAAAATGAATTAGCTTTGATGCACAGTATACTGGAATCGTGACTTGCGAATTGTAAACACGCACTGTACGTGAATCCTTCAAGTGAAACTGATAAAAACGTGATGTCAATAAAATCGTCAGGCGAATATTAGTATTCACACAATAAAAACTGATAAAAAAATGGGTAAATGAATAAAGAAATTCTGAGCAGTTATTTTTGTACAAAGATAGTAATTTTCATCAGGAGCCTTGACGATATGTGACATGATGACCATGATTAGTCCCGCCATTTTCACCCATAAAAGGAACAGTGCCATCAATCTCGCAAATCGCAAGACAACGTTTTCTAAATTCTTGCGTTTTATATTCCAGTATCTTATATGCCAAATGTACTTCCAAAACACTGAAAGCTCTTAAATGACAAGGTGAACTTTCAATGTATACGTTATATAACCAGGTCTTACAATAATAGAAAGGCATTATTTATTCTGGCAAAGTCTCACCAGGTTAGCGAGAGTTTCTAACGATCACCAAAGCCAGTATACAAAGACATAAATGATAAATCAAAATGTATAAATACAATAATAAGCACAGTTTCCTACCTTTGAAATTAATGAGATTTTTACAACAATTAATTTGGCTGATTACGCAGTAATCTGAGTTTAACGTAAAGGGCTGGATGCACACCATCTCATCTTGCACTTCTTAATCTTAAGTCGTAACCTCGGTAACACTGGGCCCCACACCTGCAGTTAATTAACTACACCCATCTGTGTTTGCATGTCAGCTGACTCCTTTGTTTAATGTCTACACCTCGTTAATATTTAATCCACCTTTGCTATTCCTTAATGACACTTTTGTTTCGTGTTTACATCATGCATGCACATTCATTCCCCTTGTTTATTCCATAATCCTCATATCTTCACCCAATCAACTCTTTCCTAATTTGTCATCCTCATATCTACACCCAATCATATTCGTCCTGTACATCACTATCACTCTTTTCACTAGTAGTACAGACCACTTGCATTGTAACTGCAATTATGCATGCTGCTAGTTTTTCTTATTTCGCGTTCCAATACTATTTCGCATACCAGTACATCAGCTTACCAGTACATTCACTATGCCTGCAGGAAAAAACTCTACTGGCAATCGTGGAAGGCCAGCTCGCACAAAAAAGATACCAGAACGGTTCACTCCCGACGTAGCACCAGCTAAAAGACAACGGACCAACGCAAGCACGCAGTCATGTCCCATCGATGTCACCACAGACGATCGGTCACCCAGTACAATGAGTACAACACATACTCCATGCACCGTCGGTATTGAAACGGCCATCGACATAAATTTGTTGTCTCCAACTTCAACAGTTAGTCAGCTTCAGATCAACAAGCCAGTACCTGCACCCAGCCAACTACCGATAAACCAGCCGGCAACGATTAGCCAATTGCCGCTCATCCAACCGACAATGTCCAGTCAGCCACTGCTCAATCATCCAACAACAACAACAACAAGCCATCTACCACTCAACCAGCCAGCAACGTCTCAACAAGAATCTCAACCACTCCAACATCAATTTCTACAGTACCAGCATCCACATACACAACAATACGGCCAGCCTTGCCACCCATTTACGCCAATACAGACACAGCCCAACAGTCAATCAACCCTCAACGACGTTGCAGATCGTGGTAAGTTTGTCGATTTATCGTTGTTCCTCCCAGACAATATTCTGCCAAATTTCACTGTGTCGCAAAACACGCAAGTCTGCATAGATCAAGACGACCATGGCATCGCAAATTTAACTAGACAACCAAAACGCAATGTGATCAACGATTTTGAAACTTGGGTGGATTGTTTTTCTACGTACGCTAACTATCACTCGTACTACTTCCCAGATCAGACACCGCATTTATTTAACTACTTACGATTCATGGCAAGAAAAGCTAAACGCTACGAACTAACTGCTTGGCTCGCCTACGACAAAGCATTTCGTCAAGATATCACATGTTACAACGGCCAACGTGTTTTGAGTGGAATCCACCGGGAGTTAGACTACGAATGTTTTCAAAGTAACATTCATTTATTACGTTGGAGGTGCCGTAGTTGCGGGAAAACAGGTCATCTACAAAATGACTGTTTCAATAACAGATCTCGCAACAATCCATATGTTTGGACTGCCAATCATCAACAAACAACGCATTCGCCTACTGGATCACACCGCAGCAGGGGACAACACGTGGTACAACAACAACAACAAGTCTGCAGAGAATACAATAGAGGGCGTTGTTCCACCCCATGCCAAAATGGCCGCCTCCATAAGTGTAGTGTTTGTTATCAACGGAGCACATCGCACTCATTCATCGGAAGCAGGATAACCAAGATAACAAGATAACAAGATAACAAGATAACCAGCCATTTCGTGGCTCCAGTAATGCATCAAGTCAACAACGCAACCAACAACAGAACTACACCCCGCATGACTGCATGACCATCCCGACAAACAATTTACCGCATCCATTCTCTTGGACATTTCCAGAGGTGCTGACTTGGGATTCACCGGCATCAATCACGCACGTGAAACAAAGAACGCCAAGTCAACATACAGTAACCCACAAATCATCACAGAAGCCATTCTGAAGGAAATCAAAGCAGATCACGCGGTAGGTCCGTTTATACAACCTCCATTCCCTAATTTCGTTGTTAATTCACTCGGACTAAGGCCTAAAAAGAATGGAGGCCATAGAATCATCATGGACCTATCACAACCACGGACTGACAGTGTCAATTCAAACATCTGCAAGGATGAATTTTCACTGCATTATTCAACAGTTGACGATGCCGTGGCAATGATCAATAAACTAGGTCGTGCCACACTACTAGCGAAAATTAACATTCAGCACGCGTTTCGCCTGTGTCCGGTCAGACGGGAAGATTGGCACCTATTGGGTTACAAATGGGACAACTACTATTTCTTCGACAGAGTTTTGCCATTTGGACACCTTTCCTTTTTAATCGCATTGCTGAGGCTATCAACTGGATTGTGTGTAACCGGACAAATAACATTCTGCACTACTTAGATGACTACCTCATCACAGGACCAGCTAATTCTAAGGTATGTGCAAGCAGTCTTGACACCATGCTAACAACATGTCAGGCGTTAGGGGTTCCCATTGCGCAAAACAAACTGGAAGGCCCCACACTGACCTTCCTTGGCATTGAGATGGACACCGTGAACAGAGTACTGCGACTACCGCAAGACAAACTCAATGACATTACTTCATCAAGTGAAAAATGGTCCACAACAACAACTTGTATGAAACAAGAACTATTATCATTAATTGGCACCCTCAGCTTTGCATGTAAATGCATCCCAGCTGGGCGGATATTCCTACAACGAATGATCGACTTGTCAACCACCGCCTCTGCATTGCACCAACGAATTACGCTTTCAACATCCTTTCAACTTGACCTAGAATGGTGGAAAGACTTCCTACCCACTTGGAATGGCACAGCCAGTTTTCTTGACTCAACTTGGACACCTGTGCCAGAAATGGAACTATACACCGATGCATCATCGACTATTCGATGTGGCGGGTATTTCAACGGCGAGTGGTTTTCCTTACAATGGTCGGCAATCCTGTCCAACAATGACCACCAGCATTCCATCGTATGGAAAGAACTATTACCAATCCTCCTATCATGCTTAATTTGGGGGCACTTGTGGCACGGAAGGAGAGTGATGTTTCACTGTGATAATGAGAGTATTGTTCACACATGGCGCAAAGGTTCCACACGCTGTCCCTACATCATGCAACTCATTCGTGCAATTTTTCTTACCGCTGCCTCATCAAATTTCCATGTCATGATCACCCACATACGGGGAACCGATAATAACATTGCAGATGCTCTTTCTCGCTTACAGATGAACCAATTCCACTCTCTTGCACCACATGCAACAACCAAGCAAATCATCGACTACCTGCGTGGCCGTCACCTGCTGACCTGACTGCCCTGGAAAACAGAGCTAAGTATTATGCTTTCCATTCTCTGGCCGGCTCAACTCGCCGCACTTATACAACCGCTCAGACCAAGTACATTAACTTTTGTC